CAGTGATAATCAGATAGATAAGCTGGAGGTTTAATATTTCGATTGGATTTTCTGGTTGGCACAGGAGGGGAGGGGCAAGGGGAGTTGTTAGTGTCATTTGAGGAAGAAGAGAGGTTAGTGGGAGAATCTGGCTGGGGGGGAGAGGTAGGAGAGGAAGGTTCATTTGATGGTGGAGGTAAGTTGGGTGGAATGTTGGTGAAAATATCAGGTGAATCAAGGGAAGGAGGGTCAGGAGTAGGAATTATAGGATTAGGTGCAGGTGGGATGGATGCAAAAGGGAACACAGTTTCATAAAAGAATACATTCCTTGAAATGTAAAATTCATGTGTGATAGGATCATAGAGAAGGTAGCCTTCTGTGCCTTCCCTGTAGCCAAGAAAAATAGATTTCCTTGCTCTTGGTTCGAATTTAGTGCAATGGTTAAGCAAGGTCGAAGAATAGGCAAGACAACCAAAGACTCTCATATGGTTAAGGCTGGGAGGAGTAGAATGGAGTTTTTGGTAGGGAGAGTGGTTGTTTAAAAGAGGAGTGGGAAGGCGGTTTATAATATGAATGGCCTGTTGTATGGAAAGGTGCCAAAGGTTGTGAGGGAGGTGAGAGTGGAAAGAGAGGGCACGGGCAACATTCAAAATGTGCTGATGTTTTCTTTCCACGATACTGTTCTGTTGAGGCGTTTCCACACAAGACCTTTGATGAATGATTCCTTTAGAAAGGTAGAAAGTGGTCATGAGAAACTCATGACCATTATCACTACGAATGCACTTGAGTTTCTTATTAAATTGAGTTTCGATAAAGGATATGAAGTGAATTAAATGGTTTCTGATTTCACTTTTGTTGGCCATAAAAATTGTCCAAGTAAACCTGTTGTAATCGTCTACGAGGGTTAAAAAATACTTGTGGCCACATATGGAAGGTGTGGAAAGAGGACCCCAAATATCAACATGAAGTAATTCGAAGATGGCAACAGACTTAGTATTACTGTGAGTAAAAGGCAAATGTTTTTGCTTAGCCAAATGGCAAGTATTACAGGGCTTATGATTGTCATTGTAGGTGACAAAAGGAAATTGAGAGGAAATACATTTGTGTATGTAAGGACTTAAGTGTCCAAGCCTAAGATGCCAAATAGTAGCAGGATCGTGTTTAGCAAGTTCTAATTGGGGAGAAGAGGAGGTGTTGACAGAGCCAGATGTGGGAGAGATGGCCTTAGGTGGGGTGGCATCAAGAACATACAATTTGCCAATCCTCCTAGCTGTAAATCCAGTCATCTTGGATTGGGATAACTACATAATTTGACAGCAATTAGGAGAAAATTTCATATCATATAAAGTGGAGTCAAAAAGAGTGGTGACAGAGATAATATTGACATGAAATGAAGGAAAGTAATAAACATTGTGAAGGACAAGTGAATCACATAGTAAAATTGAACCAGTAATAGTTGTAGTGACAGAGTCACCATTAGGCATTGTCATAGATTTAGGTGCAATGTGGTATGTGGAAAGGAAACTGGCAAAGATATGAGTGATGTGATCAGTGGCACCTGTGTCAATGATCCACCAGTTATGACAAGGAAGATTCGAGGAATTCTTACCAGAGGAAGTATGAGGAGAGGTATGGGACACAGAATTAGCAGTATAAACAGAATTAATCGAGGGAGGTGAAGGAGATTGCAAATTAGACTGTTGGAGGAGCTGCAGAATCTGAGTGTATTGCTCTTGAATCGTAGACAAAGCACTTGGACTGGTGTTTGATGTGGAAGCAGAGGAAGATAATGCTTCAAGTTGAGGAGAAGCAGCATCTTGAATCGAGTTCATTGTAGAATCAACAGAATTCCCCACTGATGTAGTAGGCTTGCGTTGTTGAAATCCAGGGGGATAGTCATGTTTCATGAAACAAGTCTCAATGGTGTGATTGGTGCGGTTACAATGAGTACATAGTCGGTTTCCACGGCCACCACGGCCACGACCACGACCAGGATTGTGAGAAGAACGAGAAGGTGCTTGAAAAAGGTGATTGATAAACGATTGAGACTCAATTGAAGAAGCAGAAGGTGAAAGAAGGTTGAATTGGCGTTCTTGTTGAAGAACCAGATTAAACACATTATCAAGAGTTAGTAGTGGGGTCATCAACATAATCTGCGAGCGAACATGAGCGTATTGGTCACCAAGGCCCTTCAAGAACTTGATAACTTTATCTTGTTCTTTGAATTTGCGTAAGTCTGAAGCAGCACCACAGGAGCACGGTATAGCGCAAGTACAATCACGAATTGGCCGGAAGTTCTCGATTTCTTCCCAAAGCGTCATCAATTTCGTGAAGAACGAAGAGATATCGAGAGTTCCTTGTTGAAGACGAGCAACAGTTTCTTGAATGTCAGCAATGCGAAAAATATCTCCCTGAGAAAAACGATTTTCCAAACTTTTCCATACAAGAGAAGCACGATCATACCATAGAAGAGATTTTGCAATTTCCTCAGAAATCGAGCGTTGAAGCCATGAGATGACGAGATTGTTGCATCGCAGTCAAGGTTCGTATAGAGAGTCGGAGATAGGCGGAGGAGAAAGAGTGCCATCAACGAACTTGGTCTTGTTCTTGGAGATAAGAGCCACTTTCATCGATCTAGACCAGATCTGGTAGTTCTTGGTATCAAGAACAGGTTGAACAAGAACAAGAGAGGGATTCTCATTAGGGTGCATGTAGTAAGGATTGGCAGGATTGGTAGCAAAATCAGAGTAAGGAAGCGCCATAATCAAGCTGATGCAGCAAAGGAAGAAGAGGGCGCGAAGGCGCAAAGAAGAAGAAGGCGCGAAGAAGAAAGGCGCGGAAAAGAGAATTCAAACTGATATCATGTTAATTTTGAAATAAACTTATTGTATTATTCTTATTTTGGAATGTACAAAACAGTACTATATATACTGTTTAAGTAACAAACTGTAACAAACTAAACAGAATTATTTTCTATCATGTAATATATGTTATGAATCCTCTTCTATTTCACAAATGCTTACCTCTTCATCGTTGAAATTTGAAGGGATTTAATTATCGTTGACAACATTTGGTTCTTCTTGAATATTAAGAGTATTTGGTTCTTCTTGAATATCAAGAGTATGGAATCACTCTTACTCTATTGAAGAATCTTCAGTTTTTCCTTGATCAAGTAAAGGTATTGATTTTTTTTTCTTCACAAGTCCACGTCAACTTGTTGCTACAGTATAGGAAAACATGGCAGCTTTATCGCAGTGAATGATGGAGCATCATTCAATACAAACTCTTCAGCACATATCAAACTCTATTGCAGTTTTAATTTAAGTAAAGTAGTATGGTTTGATGCTTGTCATAGATCAAACAGCGTAGAAGTTCTTTCCATTTGAGTAGCAATAAAGCTGAAGCACCTATGGTGAGAATATAATACAACATCGCATAATGGTTGTTGCATTATTTTCTCAACATAGTTGATGACTGAGGAACATGGGTCTACCTTATGAAACACAACTGAAACATTAGACAACGTCATTAACTTCAACAACTCGATCACAACTTGATCAAAAAGTAGTTTGATGTACATGTTAAAAGGATTCAGTGATAATGGAGCAAAAGAAATCTTGTGTAGCTCCTCCACAAGAAAATGAATGTGTAGACAGAAAACACATGCATCTATTAAACGTTGGGCGGGCATTGCGTTTAAAAACTAATCCATTACAATTTTGGGGAGAATGTGTACTCACTACACCACAACCCATTAATAGAATTCGCATTTGGAATCTACCCAAACACTGGACATCAAATTTCCAATACAGTGGAGCAGTAGCTTGAAATGTCATGTATTAACATCTCATTAATAGAAACATTTGAAATCGTACCAAACTACAATGGGCGTATCAAATTTTCTAACACGGTCAAGCAGTAGCTTGAAAGGCCATGCATTAACGGCAAGAGTACATTTAACATCACTGTGCAAAACAAGTTTAATTTTCATTTTATAATACAAAACACCAGTTTTCAATCAGAACCATCTAATCAACACCTTGCCGGCGAGACAGCAGGAACTTCCTGAATGAGGCATAATGCAGTCCCAACATACTCAGCTCAAAAGATTGAAATTTGACAAATAAGCTGTGTACATTAAAGACACATTTATAAGAATATTGCAACTAACACCAGACCTGCATGTTGTTACTTTATAAGCAAGCCATGTCTCAAATAAATTAATACCATGCCGACATTGCCATTTTTTCTTACTCTCCAGCCAAAAACTAGGTACATAACAAACCATAATGCAACTAAAGATCTCTACATTTGCTTCCCTACTAAATTGTGATTGATAAATCAAATGAAATATTAAATGAAAAAGCAGTAATCAATAGATAAGAAAGGCAAAGGACACCACTTCAGAATCCCGAATATATAAGCTTCAGAGAAAATAGCCAATACAAAAGAGAATACCATTTGGTTCTATAATAGTCTAAAACAAAAGAGAGATTCTCAAAAACTAATGCAGAGGGCAACAAACTCTATCGAAATGAAACAAAAAGCTTTGTGACGACAAATCAGCTGACAACTCTGCTGATGAACACATAAATCTGCAATAAAAGTTTCATTGTAAAATTAGGACAACATAAAAGGCAGATCCAATCTATGTATAATTAATTACATCCAAAAGGCTGTGAACAACTTATAACAATGCCAGAGAAATAACTACATCCATTACTGTACTTTTTTAGTAGGCATACAATTTACATATAACTGACATGTAACACTGGAAAGTTTATAAAACATGCAATTCCAGACTGCAAAACTATGTCACCAATAAAAATCAATTAAGCATACAATCTAGTGTTGATGACGGAAAAGTAGCATGTTCAAATCCCACTGCACTACAGCGGCACTATGTCTAACAACAACTCGTATATAAAAGCCTAGAGTATATCTTAGAAAATGATGACTTGTTAAGTTCCACTACACGACACAGCTCTACATGTATATAACAAAGATAAAAAATTACTGAGTTAAAATGGAGACAAGTTAGATATAGACAAAAACTGCATTGACAAATCAGTGAGAAATAGCAAGAAACCAAGTAAAGTATTGACAAAATACATGATAAAAAAACATGAAAACAAGTGGGACATTGATGAATGACAAAGAAATAAACAGCCCAAATAAATCTCAAGCAAATTTACAGTTTCAAATAAACACCACATCAACAAAATGCATAAAACAATAGCAAATTTCAATAAAATGACTTCAACGTAAATAAAAAAGAACATGTTCAATAAACATCAACAATGGTGATTTTACCTCTCATATGTTACTTGGATACATGAAAACTCGCACACGTGCACCCTACAAATGAATCAAAACTCAGTTACAACAACATCCTAAAAGAAACCCAAATAATAGAAATCAGCAACTCTATTGTTACAAAATGATCACCATTGATTTAGGTGGAAGGTTGGACTTGAACTTAGCACGAACAATACCACTGTTACCATGAGGTCTAGTAACCTTGCCCCATAAACAACGGTAATGAGTACCATTCTTCTTCACCTTTGCCTTGTAGATGTAAGCCATCTTCTTTCCAGCATACCACGCTACCTCTTCCTTGGTATTCACTCCCTCTATTTGAATCAGTGACGTGTTTGGGTACTGGTTTGATTTGGATCTAAAACACACACACACAAAAAACATCACCTTCATCATCCATCAAAAGTATTAACATCAAACGCATAAAAAACACAAACTTAAGAACCTAAACACGGAAAATTGAAATTTTACCTCTTGTATCCAAGGATGGTACCCCTGACGTAAAGTCTAATTGAAAGAAAACGAAGAAAGTGAGAAATTAGGTGAAAAAGCGAAGAGAAAAGAGTGAGATTGGGTTGGAAGAATAGTATTACCTGATGCGTTCTCCTTGGCGACCCTTCACCATTTTTGCTGAAAGAACGATGCTGCTTAACCTAATTTCTGAATGACGAAATTTTTAGGGTTTTACAGTAAAGAAAGCATTGGTGTAGTGTTTGGGCTTTTATATGTGACCCAGCTCATGTTTTGGCCCAATGGGTTTTGGGCTATTATTGGTACCTCTTTTATATGTGATTATTTGTTCAAATTCAAATTTCATAGTCTTATGTATTTTTAATGATTATCATTATTTTATCTATAAAAAATAGTGTATAAAAATTGTAAAACTATATACAAAACTGCCAATGATAACACTGTAACTGGTTAGGATGATATTAAGGGAGACATTCTTGATTTTTATGGTAATTTTATGGGATTTAATATTGACAGGTTAAGGGGTGTTAATTTTATTGCAGTGAGGAAAGGTGAGCATCTGTCAAATAAGTAAAGGAGAGTTCTTATTACTGAAGTTACTCAAGAGTAAATCTACAAAGCTTTGAATAGTATACATGACTCAACTGTCTTTGGTATAGATGGTTTTGGTGCGAAGTTTTGCAAAGCATCATGGAGTATCGTGAAAAAGGATATTATTTAAGTTGTTAATAAACTCTTTGAAGAAGAATACATGTACTGTGCTCTGAACAGTTTCCTAGTGACACTTATTCCTAAATCTCATAATGATATGGCTGTTAAGGATTATCGGCCAATATCGTGTTGCATTATTATATACAAAATTATTTCAAAGATATGGCTACAAGATTAGGGAAAGTGTTGCACAACATCATTCATATTAGCCAGATCACGTTTGTCCCTTGTCAACAAATTCATGATCATATCCTCCTTGGGTATGAATTGTTAAAGGATTATTCTGCTAAGGATGAGGTGCCGAAGTGTATGCTCCAAATGGACATACAGAAAGCCTATGATACATTTAACTGGTATGCCCTAGAATCAATTATGAGGGAGTTAAGTTTCTTAAACAAGTTCATTTGGTGGGTCATGCTAGCAGTCACAACTGTTTCCTGCCGATTTAAGGTGAATCATACTAATTCTCAAATTCTGAAAGCCAAATGTGGGTTAAGGCGGGAGGGGGGGGGGGGGGGGGGGGGGGCTTTATCCCCCATGCTTTTCGTGCTTATTATGGAATACCTCAATAGAATCCTCAATAACCTCAAATTTGTCCCTGATTTTAATTATCATTCAAGGTGTGAAAAATTGGGCATAATAAATCTTATTATTGTTGATGATTTACTCCTCTACTCAAGAGGTGACACAAAATATGCGGCCCTTGTCATGATAGCTTTTGAAGAGTTCTCGAAGTCAATCGGTCTTGTGGTTAATCCAGCAAAATGTTAGGTTTACTTTGGGGGTGTTAATGAAAGAACTAAGCAGGAATTAAAAGGTTAACCAAGTTCAATGAAGGGCCTCTCCCGTTCAGGTGCCTTGGGATTCCAATTACAAGTAAAAAGTTGTTTGTGCATGACTGTATGGTTCTGGTGGATAAAATTGTGCCCCGTGTTAAGCATTAGAGTGCCAAACTCTTGAGTTTTGCAGGTAGAGTGCAATTGATAACAAGCATTTTATTTGCAACAAGTAGTTACTGGATGCAATATTTTTCCCTCCCGACAAAAATTATCTAAAAAATCAAATCAATTTGTTTATCTTTCCTTTAGAGTGGCAGTGAAACCTTCACCAAAAAGTCTCATATTATTTGGTTTAATGTGTGCATCCCTATAAAGCATGGTGGATTGAGCATAATCTCATTGAGGGAGTGGAATAAAGCTTGTTTGATTAAGCTGCTTTGGAATCTAAGTGGTAAAAGAGATAGCTTCTGAATAAAGTGTTTAATTGTTACTACTTAAAGAATGAAGATATGATGCAAGCCCCTGTTAAGAATAATTGTTCTTGGATCCTGAAAACAATTCTGAAACAGAGGCAACATATCCTTCAGCAACATTTTTTGTCTAATTTGACACAGGCTGATTCATATTCTACAAAAAACTATTTATTTAGCTCTGAATGGGAATCAATATCATGTTACTTTAAGGCACTTGATCAGTAGAAAGGCAGCCAGGCCCCCGACCATCTTTGTGTTGTGGACAGCGTGCCATGAGAGATTAGCAACGAGAGAAAGACTCAAGAGATTTGGCATTATTGATCATGATAGTTGTTGTTTTTGTGGTCACCATGAAACTCAAGATCGCCTGTTTTTTTAATATAATAGCATGCGGGAAATTTGGAAGAAAATCTTAATTTGGATACAAATCGCTTATAAATCTGGCAATTGGCAAGAGACTCTGAGTTGGATCATCAGGAGCTGCAAGGAAAAATGGTGGCGTGCTCAAGTCTTGAAGTGTGTGTTCACCGAGATGACCTTTAATTGTTGAAAGTATAAGAATAATACTTGTTTTGGGAAGAACACCACTTGTATAGGTATAGACGATTCCATTATTGATACTATTATGCAAAGATTGTAGGCTAAACACAAATTAAAGATATTGCTACTTTAATGATGCCTTAAGTGAGTGTTGTTTAGTTGGTTTTGGTGGACTGGATCTTTAAGATCGCATGTTGTAATTGTTTTTTGGGTTCATCATTAATATATTTCTTGATTAAAAAAAACTATAAACAATTTTTAAGTTGAAAACTGTTCTGGACTGGGCCCGACAGGCCCAATAGCATTGATAAGGCCCAATCCAAATGGACTTGCTGAGGACCACGCCGACCAAAGGGACACAGTCGTGCCCGACGTGCTCCCTGAGGTTACTTGCTCGACCTCCAACTGTCCAGCTCGACATCCTGCTGCCCAACTCGACAACACCTCGAGCACCCCGACTAGGGCAGACTCAGTCCACTGCACTCCCAACGAGACCCCGAAAAGACCGCGTCTCTGTCCGCCCACACTTCACGCAGAACATCCAGGGAGGGGACCACGTGCGGATCCCCACTGCGCACGTAGAACCTGGCAGTTCCTCCATTGGGCCAAACCTGCCCGGCCCAATGAAGGAACCTTGGTCCAGCGCTGGAGGCTATAAATACCCTCTGTTTCTAGAGGGTCAGGTATTCATCATTCTACCAATACTTACTATTGCCTGCTCGTGCTTCTACTTACTTCAGCATCGGAGTGTCTTGCAGGTACCCCCCACCTCGTTCAAAACTTTCAGCTCGGAGCCAGTCGTGACGGTCCAAGTCTGATCAGGTCAGATAAGTGGCGCCGTCTGTGGGAAATCTAGCTTCCCCGTCTTACAAATAACTCAAAAGACCAAAGCTCATATTCAACTACCTGTCATGGCTGATCCAGTTCGCGAGGAGCAGAACGTCCGTGTCGCCGACACTAATAACGGCACGACAGATAAAAACGGACATCTCGACAACGCCGGCAATCCCGGCCACGCCACCATTCCTGCAACAACCGTCCCCGGAACTTCCTCGTACAGGGACGGGGCTACGGCATCATCCCCCTCGCTCCCACCACCACTCGAGGACGACCCGGCGACCCTCGCCCACTACAGAGTCGTCCGGTTTCACGAAGTCCCCGTCCCCTCCGGGGCAGATGCCACCACACAAGCGTTATTCGCAGCAATTAACCAAACGAACTATCTCATCTTCGCCCAAGGAGAGAGATTAAAGGCGCTTGAAGACGAGCGAAGACCCTCGAGGAGGCATCGGAGACCACATACTCCCCCTCCTCGGGTGACTGAGGCTTGACACCCTTCTCCCACGCGGAGACACTACAGGGAAAACTCCAGAAGCCCTTCTCCCCGGCCAAAGCAGAGGCGACCCTATTTGGAGAGAGAGCCCGTCATCCCTGCCGGAGAACCCAGTCGCGACCCGGTAAGGCACGACAAGAGACACGCCGGAGACGGGCGTGTAACATTCAACCAACGAGCATCTCGAGGGAGACTCAGCATGACCACTGTGCCAGACAATACTACAGGTCCCCATATCTGTCTCCGGAGATGAGCGACGAGGACGACCCCCGCGGTCCCCTGTCGCAGGCCATCATGGATGCACCCATCCCCCCGGGCATGGAGAAGCCCCACATCTGAAGTAGTACGATGGAGTCGCGGACCCGGTCGACCACATCGACGGGTTCGAGGCTATGCTCCATTATCATAATGTCGGGGGGCCCATCAAGTGCCGTCTTTTCCCCACGACTCTCAGGAAGGCGGCCATGGACTGGTACAAAGGGCTCTCCCCAGGCTCAATCACCTCGTGGCAGAACCTGAAGAACCAGTTCATCAGTTCCTTCACCGCTTCTCGACGCCATCCAAAGACCGAGGCGGCGCTCGAGGCCATCATCCAAAGACAGGATGAGACCTTGAGGGAGTTCATCAACCGCTTCAACCGAGAAGCGATACAGGTCCCCTGCACGGACCACATGAAGAGATATCTGTTGGAGAGGGGGCTCCTCCCCGGCACAGAGTTCAGAAAAGCCGTGGGAATCGAGCCGCCCAGGTCCTTCGACGCCCTCCTCGATAAAGCTCAGGCATACATGGATTACGAGGAGAGGGAAGCAGCCAACAGAGCCCGAGATTCCAGGACTCGGGGTCCCAACAATAGCAGCTCGCGCCAAGAGGCTCCTCCTCGACGAACCGGGGAGAAAAGGAAAGAAGACAGACCCCGGGAAGTCCGGGAACAAAGGGGCCCCTCGGGCCGTTTCACCAAGTACACTCCGCTCACAGCTTCCCGCGAGCGTATCCTGGCGGAGTGTGTCAGTACAGACTTTAAGGACGGCAGCGTCAAGCGTCCCCGACCTGCTCCCGCCAAGCCTGGGGCGGACAAAAATAAATACTGTCAATACCATAAGAGTCATGGTCATCTGACAGAGGACTGCGTCCACCTCAAGGACGCAATTGAAACCCTCATCAAGGGAGGGAGGCTCGCGCAGTACCGGCGAAACGACGCTCCTCGTCGTGACGCCCATGAAGCCAAGGAGCCGGAAGAAGACGCCCGACCATCAGACGAGTCGATGCCTATCCAGACCGCCTTCTCGGTGACCAGGCCCGAGGACTTCGACATTCCCGA